AGACATTTTTTTTTAAATATGTGAGGGCTTTTCCTAAATACTAACCAAGGAGAGATGCTACACCACAGTTGTTGTCTGGATGTCTGATAGTCATTCTTTAGTGTCGGAATTTCTGCTTTATAACTAGCCTTCATTTTGAATAAACTCATTTTTTAAATCCCCATATTGGGAATGCTGAATTTAATTGAAATTCGGTCATGGATAGAATGCCGATCATTAACGTATAATTGGCGTGAGACACTTGATACGAACTCATTAGATACCTCAAAATTCTTCAAAAATACCAATAACGTCGCGAGAGAGAGATCGCAGGTCTATTCTAGATGTAGAGGGTAGAGGTATGAATACTTCATTTTTATTTGTTTTCTTGGACACATTTAAATGAATTTATACACAAATCATTAAACTGTACCTGAAAGGGAGTATGCATATTCATAATGTATAAATATTGAACGAGTATGTTTAGTTTAATGAAGGTGATGCAAATGTGTTGTATTATTCCATCGACGAACGAATGAATTAGGGTTATATAACTACATATTAAAATGGATCCCGTCTGTAATTATTTACATTGAATTTCAAACTATATATATATATAATACATCTAACTCCTATCAATTTGTACCTCCGAATAACGTTTCATACATGCATGGTCTTTCTCGGTCGGTCGGTGAAGGTCGTCTGCCACGCTATCACGGCGCGAGCATAGAACTATCTAGAACATATACAAATGTATAATGTACAAAAATTTTTGGTTTCGTCGTTTAGGAAAAAAAAAACTTCTCAGGACTACTCAATATTTGGCTCGATTACACTGAGCACTGAGTAGACGAAAGCCGTATGTGGACAGCACAAAAACCACAATATCTGGAAATTTTGTAGTTTCGTATAAATTATCTCTAGCCGCTAGTAGGATTTCTGGCACTGCTCCTTTTCGAAATATATATATCAAATTCAAGAAGCGAGCCCCTTTTTCTTCACCTTATCAGTGTTCTCAAATATTAATGTGACATACGCTGTATCTATAGACATCCGGGGTCTACTTCCTCAGAGGATTCCTGTCTGCTCCGTACGAGGACTAAAATGTACTGCAGGAATGCGTCAATGCCGAACAGCACCAAGGCTTGCAAAGTTTTAAATATTTTTAAAATTCCGTCATCTCAGATGTCTGTAAAGGTAAAATGTACACAGTAGAGGTAATCTTCTGTTTATTCCCTGAAAGAAAATTACATGTTTTAAAATACACGTCTAGCAGATTGGCCGCGTAATATACGGAATTGTAACCTACAAATACTGAAATTTGTGTGAAAAGAACTTTTCCTCCGGATTTCAGACTTGTGAAAAACGACCCATAACATTCAGTACATATTGAATATAACGATTTTAAACCCGAAACTAAAACTTTGAAAAAGAATTATCATTATCATTATTACTATCATGACATTCTTAACGACCCGTCAACACATAAAAGGACATTAGGGTCATCAACCGGTAAAACACACAGCGATCCAAAAGGGAATAACATCCAACAAAATAAAAGGTAAAATGCTTAAAAAAATCTTAAATAGGTATATTAACACAAATATTAAAATGATAAGTCATACTCTATTATATAGACCAACATCTTTCAAGTAATGTAGAATTTTACAAATCTCAACAGTTTCAAAAAGGGTTTTTAGACATGTGATAATACGATAAAAACATTCTCGAGTAGACAGAAGGTCAATGCAGTCCAATAAAAATGTTTAACGGTGCATGGCTCATCACATCCTATGCACCGAGGATTATCTTCGCCTTTCAACATATATGAATGTGTAGGGTAAATATGATCGTTCCGAAGACAGGCAAGAACACCTTCGTCTCGGTGGTTGTCTCTATAGCATGGAGACCATTCACCAATAATAGGTTTTACGCAGTACAATTAGTTATTGGTATATGTATCCCATACCTCCTGCCACTGAGCTTTTAAAATTTGTTTGAAAATGGATTAAATTCGGTAAAATGAATTTTAAAAAAAACAAAAAGAAATAACTAGTATCTAGGTGTTGATATAAAGCAATCTCTTTGGAATATAAAGTCTCACAGAGTACGTTTTGACCTAAGCTTTGTATACCAATTGACCGCAAAAGAATTAAACCTGTACCGTTTGAAGTAATATAACGTATAGCGGTCGTGTAGGGAAGGAAACTTAGATCCGGGATGAATCACATCATACACATCTTTCCACAAACGTTACACATCATTTTTCCCTTCTCTCCAGAAACATTTCACATCATTATACCCATTTCTATTAACACTATACAATACCGCACCTATCCCTTGATTAACACTTCACAATGTTGTAACGTTCAGCCCCCACCCCATTAACACTACACAATATTGTATCGTTCATCCCCACCCCATCAATACTACACAATATTGTACCGTTCATCCCCCACCCCATTAACACTACACAATATTGTATCGTTCATCCCCCACCCCATTAACACTACACAATATTGTATCGTTCATCCCCACCCCATCAACACTACACAATATTGTAACGTTCATCCCCCACCCCATTAACACTACACAATATTGTATCGTTCATCCCCCACCCCATTAACACTACACAATATTGTATCGTTCATCCCCCACCCCATTAACACTACACAATATTGTACCGTTCATCCCCCACCCCATTAACACTACACAATATTGTATCGTTCATCCCCCACCCCATTAACAATACACAATATTGTACCGTTCATCCCCCACCCCATTAACACTACACAATATTGTAACGATCATCCCCCACCCCATTAACACTACACAATATTGTACCGTTCATCCCCCACCCTTAACACTACACAATATTGTATCGTTCATCCCCCACCCCATTAACACTACACAATATTGTACTGTTCATCCCCCACCCCATTAACACTACACAATATTGTACCGTTCCCACCACTAACACTACATACACCAATATACCCATCTCTCTATTAACACTATACAATATCTATCCCTTGACCAACACTACACACTGTCGTACCATCCCCCCACGAACACTACACACCACTGTAACCTTCACACTATTGTACCCATCTCTATATACTACACACTGATGCACCAATCTCTCGACTTTTACTACACACTATTGAACCGTTCCCTCGCCTAACACTACACAAATACACACTGTCGTACCCATCTTTCCATTAACACTACCCACACCGCTATACCCTTCTCTGTATAACACTACGGTACCGTTCTCTCGCCTAACACTACATACTGTCATACCATCTTTCCGTTTACACCACACACACAAACGTACCATTCTCTTCACTAACAATTCACATCAGTGTAGACATCTTATAACTAAAACTACACAACACTGCACTCTCATCGCAACTAATACTTCAGACTGTTGTACACATCTTTCCATTACACTACACACTACTTGACCCATCTCTCCACCAACACTACACAGGATCAGTATACAATAAATACACTGTACCCATCCATAAACACTACCCAGCTCTCCACTAACAATACACACCTCCATACTCATATTACACAATATCTTCCCCCCCTCCCTCTCTCTCTCTCTCTCTCTCTCTCTCTCTCTCTCTCTCTCTCTCTCTCTCTCTCTCTCTCTCTCTCTCTCTCTCTCTCTCTCTCTCTCTCTCTCTCTCTCTCTCTCTTGTATTTTACGATAATCCTCCTTCCCTTTATCAATCATTAAGCTAACAATAGTTATCTAGGGGATTTTTTCGAAATCATTCTCGCACTTTGACCGTTAGCTGAAGGACCCCGTTGTCTTTTGGTGGCCACTCATGTCCCCTCTTTCCACATTTGGCATTTGTCGCGGGGCGGGTGGGTAGGGAGTCTTTGTGTATCATTAGCATGGTGACGGATACATGCCATGTATTCCTACTGAAAAACACGAAAAATAGCTCACACAGATCTTATAAACATCACACGATAGTTTTTTTTATATCACCAACTTAATCATCGGAAATGATGAAACCTTATTGACGGTGTCCGTTGTTTATTCTCAATGTAATCATTACAGACACGCACGTGTTACCACTTCCTAATTAACATCAATGTATACAAGGTCTTCATTCGAGCTAATTGCAAATACTTCCGTGTGATATTGCGTGAAGGTTGCCTTTGCTTATTGCACAACTAATCGCTATCACTACACGGATCTGCTGTTCTGTTTGGTTGCATACAGCAGGACATGTCGATTGTAGCTAGAAACTCGGAGAGAGTGTATTGTTTACTATCCTCACAAAGGATCATGCAATATTATTTTTAAAAACCTGCACCCACATTTTGCGGTCGATCGTAAATGTTTGAAGCGGTGTTCAATGCTTCGTGAGTGTTCTCCAGCTGTCCCTAGCCATTATACATGGTAGCCAAGTGATAGCAATCCGGAGACATCGCAGTAAGATTTCCAGGAAAACTGTCTGTGCGTCAGTCTAACGTACGTGGCAGACACCAATATATAGATGTTGTAATTTATGACAATACGTCTGAAATATTCTATATCTGGCAAGAAATCAGAGAACTGCTGATGATGCAGGAAGTCGTCGATTTTCAGTGACGTTTCGTGTGAGCCGATAGTGGCCTTACCATTGGCAGTGCTGTACTACGCTATACATTCCTTGTACTCGCCATGAATGAACACGTGGGGACTATCGTCACACACATACAGCGTAGAAATCGACATCGATGACTCGGAAGGATGTTTTAAATCTTTACCTTAGTGTGGGAAAAATATAAGCTCCATATGGAACAGTTCACCTGTTTTTCAATGTATGTGAATTACTGTATATTTCGAGGCGACAGGGCTTTTTCCGCGTGAGTCACCTTGTTTGTTTAATTTGTGATAACATTTTAAAAATAGTCGCACACTGTATATGACGTGTGTTGGGACTACCTGGTCGTATTATTCCGTATGTCAGAGTTAGGGGACACCCTTTCCTGGCACGGTGGGACACAGCGACGACATGAGTGGACGAACGAACGCTGGCAGGTACCGGACAGCAAATAGTGTCGCGAAATGGTCAACAGTGGACATAACATGTGCAGTTTTATTACTAATGATTAGTTTTACCTGTACAGGTAAGTACTCCGCCCTCCTGATCTGGGTCAGATAGCGACGGCTCACAGGCCTGTATACATTGTGTACCTGTAGACTAACTTTCACTATATACTACCCATTGATAACATAGTTCTACTTGTAATGACTTAACCCTATAGTACTATCGATCTGTCTGTGGCTGTAGTATCCCCTGAGACACTGCGGCAGTTTGTGTGTGTATTCCCCCAGACATGTGTACGTACACACAGACTTACAAGAGATAAACACGCGGACTTGCTGTCGTAATTATGTCCAGTATGATGTAACTACGTTATAAAGTAGGGTATTTGGGAAGTCCAATTCTTGGTCTTACATGTCAGATTGTGCTGTTTGTTTAGGATTTTAATTATTTATGTGAATTATATCACTACTGCTAAATTTGAAAACTAGACACCGAACTCTCGGTGTCATGTTATATACAATAATAGTAATGAATGATTATTGTGACGTAATTCATGCAAGGAGTGTTTTTAACAGATACCTACTTATCAGGAGATACGGGATATCTCTGCATCATATATCTGGTGATCTCTGTACCGTATATATACCTAATGGGGGTGTCTCTGGGGGATATCTGTACCGTATATATACCTAATGGGGATGTCTCTGGGGGATATCTGTACCGTATGTATACCTATTGTGGATGTCTCTGGGGGATATCTGTACCGTATATATACCTATTGTGGATGTCTCTGGGGGATATTTGTACCGTATATATACCTAATGGGTATGTCTCTGGGGGATATCTGTACCGTATATATACCTAATGTGGATGTCTCTGGGGGATATCTGTACCGTATATATACCTAATGTGGATGTCTCTGGGGGATATTTGTACCGTATATATACCTAATGTGGATGTCTCTGGGGGACATTTGTACCGTATATATACCTAATGGGGGTGTCTCTGGGGAATATTTGTACCGTATATATACCTAATGTGGATATCTCTGGGGGATATTTGTACCGTATATATACCTAATGGGGATGTCTCTGGGGGATATTTGTACCGTATATATACCTAATGTGGATGTCTCTGGGGGATATTTGTACCGTATATATACCTAATGTGGATATCTCTGGGGGATATCTGTACCGTATATATACCTAATGGGGATGTCTCTGGGGGATATTTGTACGGTATATATACCCAATAGGGATATCTGTGGGGGATCCTTGTACCGCATGTATACATGTACGTGTACCTTATGGGGATATCACTCGTGATTTCTGTACCGTATACACGTGTACCTGATGGCGATATCTCTGAGGGATTTCTGTTCCTTTCATATGTCTGACGGAAACATTTGTGAAGCTCTTTGCACTCTAGAATATTATACATCGCGAGGACATCTCTGTAACATGTATGTTCCTGTCCTAGATACACAGAATTGTATATAAGTATCTATAAACGTTAATTATGATGAAGTATAATATATTGTATATCATATGGTGCAGCATGTAGTAAACGAAGGAGCAGTGCTGATTAACACGTGGTTATGGAAAGTCATATGACCAAATCTGCAGCCATAAGCACAAAGATATTGATTTGTCTGTCGTCTTTATATGTAGTGGAAACTTTTCGGTATATTTTTAGAGCTGATTGAACTCGAAAAGGGAAATTTTCAGTTTCCACACTTTATCGTACACAGTGTGTGTTATATGTACTACCTTACACTATACCGTAAACCAATGGTATAATCCACTGTTAACTTACCTTTTGTGATATGTATGCTTGAAGAGATTACTTTACATTGCCATTGGCCAAACCAAATATCTTATCTAGACCGTCTCACAATGGGAAACGGCAAAAGTATGATCCACTTCAACTGCACGCTACTTAGCCATTACGTTTACACGGTACACGTTCATAACACGTACACGGCACATGTCGGTAGCACTTTGTACGGCACACGTTCATAACACGTACACAGTACATGTCAGTAACACTTTGTACGGCACACGTTCATAACACGTACACAGTACATGTCAGTAACACTTTGTACGGCACACGTTCATAACACGTACACGGCACATGTCGGTAGCACTTTGTACGGCACACGTTCATAACACGTACACAGTACATGTCAGTAACACTTTGTACAGAACACGTTCATTATACGTACACAGTACATGTCAGTAACACTTTGTACGGCACACGTTCATAACACGTACACGGCACATGTCAGTAACACTTTGTACATAACACGTTCATAACACGTACACGGTACATGTCAGTAACACTTTGTACAGTACACGTTCATAACACGTACACGGTACATGTCTGTAACACTTTGTACAGAACACGTTCATAACACGTACACGGCACATGTCGGTGGCACTTTGTACGGCACACGTTCATAACACGTACACGGTACATGTCTGTAACACTTTGTACAGAACACGTTCATTACACGTACACGGTACATGTCGGTATCACTTTGTACAGAACAAGTTCATTATACGTACACGGTACATGTCGGTGGCACTTTGTACGGCACACGTTCATAACACGTACACGGCACATGTCAGTAACACTTTGTACAGAACAAGTTCATTATACGTACACGGTACATGTCGGTAGCACTTTGTTCGGCACACGTTCATTACACGTACACGGTACATGTCGGTATCACTTTGTACAGAACAAGTTCATTATACGTACACAGTACATGTCGGTAGCACTTTGTTCGGCACAAGTTCATTATACGTACACAGTACATGTCGGTAGCACTTTGTACGGCACACGTTCATAACACGTACACGGCACATGTCGGTAGCACTTTGTACGGCACACGTTCATTACACGTACACGGTACACCGTACATACCCATAACACTTTGTACATTACACTTCTATGTACTTCACATTAATTACACGTGTACGGTAGACAACATTGACATTTAAATGGTATATGTCCCTAGATGTAAAAGCGAATTCGCTTCGTCATTTCTTTATAAACCGCGAGTGTACTTTGTTAACGAATTACAATCGACGTTGGCACTCATTTGTTTCGCCATTTTCACTTGGTGACGTAACAAAGTTCTCCATGCCATACCATGACATCACAATCAATATCCGACCGACTTTATCAATGAAAATCGAAGTGTACAAAACGGCACAACATGTGTGTATATTGCGATGAGACAACGATGAGATACCTATTTGTGCATGATCATATCACACCTGTATATGATTTACTGATGTGTATATTTAACCTGAACTCTATTGCCTGCATGTATGTCACAGGTGTTTGATTCTCAGTACATACCCTTTCAGGTCCTGGTATACTTTAAAGATTTAAAAGAAAGGATCGCATCGGGTGTACAATGTCTTGTTTCCTGTCGGCTGTTTTCATTTTATGTTGTAGCGTCTTACTTCGTACCATTTGTAGTTAAGTAAAGAATTCTTTTGATATACTATGTACATTTTCTCGTGACCAGAAGCAGGCAGCACACTCTCTTCTTTTTACACCGTGCCCTGACTCACATGCGTCTCGACTATTTCGAAATACATGTACGTGCTAAATTACATTTTCCCCTTCTTTTAAAGATTGCCCGTCTCCTTTTACATTCTGTCTCAACTCACATATTTCATCAAGTCTCTCCTACTTCAATACTTATTTCCGATTCGCAAGTCTCCCCTCAATCCCCCTAACTTTTACACTCTACCCAAGTCTCCCCTCCTTTTATGTTCTGTCCTGATGTCTCACAAGTCTCCCCTCCTTTTATGTTCTGTCCTGATGTCTCACTAGTCGCCCCTCCTTTTATGTTCTGTGCTGATGTCTCACATGTCTCTCCTCCATTTATGTTCTGTGCTGATGTCTCACATGTCTCTCCTCCTTTTATGTTCTGTCCTGATGTCTCACATGTCTCTCCTCCATTTATGTTCTGTGCTGATGTCTCACATGTCTCTCCTCCTTTTATGTTCTGTTCTGATGTCTCACATGTCTCTCCTCATTTTATGTTCTGTTCTGATGTCTCACTAGTCGCCCCTCCTTTTATGTTCTGTCCTGATGTCTCACTAGTCTCCCCTCCTTTTATGTTCTGTCCTGAAATCTCACATGTCTCTCCTCCTTTTATGTTCTGTCCTAATGTCTCACATGTCTCTCCTCCTTTTATGTTCTGTCCTGATGTCTCCCATGCCTCCTTTAATGTTCTGTCAACATGTCTCAATTTTCTCCCACATTTTGTCTCCTATTGCCACATTTCTTCGTTCACTTTTGAAATCAGGATTATGTTTTAGTGGCCATGTCCAAGTCACGGCGAGTTCCATTTGATATATACTCACATATCTATTTTGTTTGTTATGGTCACGTTGTGAAATCTATTACGGAGAAATACATACATCGATATGGTTTACATATCTGAATTTATTCTGTATGACAATATTCTAAATTTATGATTCATAAAATTATCACTCCGAGGATATTGTGAGAAATTTCGTCATATGTAAATAAACTTCAATTTCCCCAGGTTAATTTCTTTACATATTTCGCTGTGCATTTCAGTATTATAATGTATACGTGGGCGTCAGTTAATCTACTGATATATCTGTAGTCTTACCATGTCTTAACAATGCATTATGTGATAACAATAGAATAATAAATGTGATGTCATTTCAATACAGACACCTCGTGGTCTTTAGAACATCTGTATCGTCTCTTTCTCTAGCCAATAATTTTTTATCTAACACAAACAGTGTACGCGCATTTTGCATCCTAGTATAATATGAAACTTCATGACATTTGATATTCTGGATACCAGCACACAGTTGTATACAAAGGGACACTTCGTTATACACAGGAACCATGCCTGCAGTTTTATTTACCGATACACAATGGAATACGCCGAAACTTGTTCTATACTGGTAAAAACTGAACACATCGGTGCCAACATTGGTTTACACCGGAAGAAAGTCACAGCTGATTTATAGCGGACCGCTGTGATAAACATGGGCAATACTGATATACAAAATAAAT